CTCGCATAGGGGAATGTTTAGCACACAGGAGAAAAAAACCACCAAATCTATGGGGGATGCTAATTTTACAGTACCATGCTGTCCATGCTCCCCTGAAGAATGAGCCCCCGCTAATGACTAACTTTTCTTCATCTTTGTGCAGCTTGGGAGATGCCAAACTCAGCCTGCCACCTCCACTGTGGCAGCTGCAGTCACTGCCTGCTCATCAGGGCACCCATTCAGGTGTTTGAACAGCACTTGGGGCTTTTGTTACACAGCTCCTCTCCCACTAGAGGCCAATGGACAGAGTTCAGTAACAAACCAAAACAGCTGTCAGTGGGCTGGTTGTTTAGGGATGCCATACCAGGTGGTTCCTCAAGCCCAAGGTTCCCTTCCTCCTCAGGAAAGGGCCTAGGAACTGGCAAAAGCACCCATTCAAATGAACTCCAAGCCTCCAGAAGCAGTTTCTGTTCTTACCAGCCTCTCTTGGCTCTGTCTCCAAGGTTCCACCAGCTCTGGAGGGCAGCAGCCTGCTCCGTTTCTGAGCTGGGGTAGAATCCAGCGCCTCTCCAGGGCGCTTTCGCTGACCCTGAGAGAGAGCAAAGCCTTAGCATTTTCTGTGGCACTAATATGAACATGGCACTTGGTTTTTGCCACCCCAATGACAGCACACAAGGATACACAAAACACTCCTGCAAAGGCTGCAATATGCATCCAATGGTGCTATGGGCCATTCCCACCTAAGTGCATCTCCTCAGAGCAAAGACATCAGCCCTGAACTCCGACAGGGTGCCTCACCAAGAAAGAGCCTGTCCCAATCCCTTGTAAATGAGGAGAGCAGTTCCCAATTCTAGCAGGCTGCTGCTCACACTGTAAGCCATTTTGAATTACTGCTAACACCCACAGACATCCAAAACTTTCAGTATTCCAGAACACCATGTTATAAAATGTTTTCAAAGGTTTCCATTCTTGTCCTTTTGCTACAAACTCTTGAAATACTTCCTAGAAGTACCCCATAAAATGTTTCAAGATTCAGATCAGCATTGAGTAGCAATGTACTTACGGAGCTCATGGTGTTTTTTGATCTAAAAGTACCGGCAAAGAAAGTGGGACCAACACCAAAAAAGGAACCTCAGGGATGGGATCAATCCCTTTGGTTCCTTTGGGTAGCCCACTGCCGATTATTTGGTGTGACTGAAAACTGCTGTTCCAAACCTGTCAGAAAAGTACAGGAGAGATTATCTATTTGGAATGCCAATTTTCCTGAATACCCCCATGCCCCAAGACTCCCATTGCCAAGTCTTCAGTTCCTGTTCAAAGCTAGATGGGAAGTCCGTGACTCTGGCACTTGAGCCCACCTGCAGCCCATGCTGCAGCCCAGAACAGCCCCTCAGCATGACACTCAGCTTTTCAGGAGTTATCTGCACTCACCTGTTCAGTCACTGCAGAGTTTGGCTGGCAAATTCAGCACACGGCTCTCTATTCGCAGCTGAGATGGAGAAGACGGACTCTCCACGTCTGCTGCGCAGCAGAGAATCCGTCAACTGGCTCAAGAGACTCGGTGTCAACAGAACCTTGGGAGCAGGAGTGCCCCTGGCAACCGGTGCCAACATTCCATGCCCAGGTAACGGGGCTGCGCTTTGCTCACCCATGGAGTTCCAGAAGGCCATGGAGGCACCGCAGCCATGGCCTGGTTCTGCGGCCGCTGGCTCCATCGCGGTGCTCAGGGCCCTGTCCTGCCTGGCGTGGAACCTTGCAGGGACAGGGCATCCACAGCTTCTCTGGGCAGCCTGTTGCACTGGCTCAGCACCCTCCTAGCTCTTGCAAACATCTGATCCCAACCTTCCCCTTCCCCCATGGCTCTCTGCCCCCTCTGGGCACTGGAAGGCCACAGTCAGGCCTCCCCAGCCCCTGCTCCTCTCCCGGCTGCACAGCCCCGGCTCTCCCAGCCTGGCTGCACGGGACAGCTGCCCCAGGCCTCCACACATCCCCAGGGCCACCTCCAGCCCTGCTCCACAGGCACATCCTGCTCCTGCTGGGCCCAGCTGGACACAGCTCCGCACGCGCGGCCTCACGGGCACAGCTGCGCCTCCCGCCGCCTTCAGCCTCAGGCACCTGAGCATCACTGGAGCCTTCCTGTGCCCAAAGAACCCACAACAAAACACACCTCCCCAAAGCAAAAAGAAATTTAAACCCTTCCTTAACCCTCCTCCTCCAGCTTTATTGGTCTCTGGCTGGTTTAACTCTTATGGGACTGCTTTAACTTGAACCCGAGTAAATA